TAACTCAAAAAATCTACTATTGATAATAAAACATTACCGGGAATAAGATTTCTGACCAACCAAACATGAGAATGTAGATTTCATTCCCATGAGAATCTCGCATTTCTTTATCCAAACACCCCCTCAATGTATATTATGTAGTCAAATTTAATATCCAGCATCTTCTTTAATTTCTTCGTATAAGATATGTATATATAAATTCAATAATTTGAAAATAAAATAAATTCGAACAAAATCGATGAATATAAATATATTAAGAGATACTTTTAATTTATTTTTTTTTTTGCTTTTCCTTACTATGACAGTAGTATTATTTTGTTTTTTTTTTCCAGATTTTAAAAACAAAAGGACGGCGAAGGGTGGGAACACATTTCAAAGGAATAGCTAAGACCTATCCTCACCTTTAATTTGGTACCGACTTCTTTAATATAATCAGTCATATTTGATTTATTAATTAAACTAATTCAGATACAGTAATGTAAAAACTTATATGAGAATGAATCTTCCAATTAAATTTTTTTATTTATAAATATTAAGATTTGAACTCTTAACCATATTTTAGAGACCAGTATTTCATCTTACTAGATCAACTAATTATTAGTATTTTGGTATTGATTTTGTAAGGAAAAATGCATAATCATCCAAAGCTAGGTATATTTGTTTTGTATGTTAATAGCCAAGGACGAATGTATAGTTTTATGTTAGGGGAAAATTTCTAGAATTTTATGATAAAGCAAACTTAGGGTCTGTTTTTTTACCGTAAAATGAATTATATAATTTGTTTTCTCCAAAATCTCGTGTTTGTTTCATATAATTCATTTTTCTGAAAATATTTTCCAGTGTTTGGTTGGAGGAAAACTAGTTGGTCAACGTAATTCATTTTCCTGGTCAACATAATTTCTTTTATGTTTTTTGGAAAATGACTTACGGTCTGATTTTCCGTAAGTCATTTTCCAAAATTTTCACTTCAAATAATAAATACTCAAAATAATTTTATTTTATGAATCTAATATTAATAAAATATTTTAATATCATTTTCATCAAAATATTAATTATTAAAATATTTAAAATATATTTATTAATATTTATAATAATATAATATTATATTTTTAATATTATAATAAAATAATCAATTATATTATAATAATATAAGATATTATATTTTTATTTTAATAAATAAATATATAATAAATTTTTTATATATTTAATAGTGAATAATATTATTTATATATTTTAATATTAATATAATAATCTAATAATATTAATAAAGATATTTAAAATATACTAATTAAAATTTTTAAAATATAATATAACACTATTACTTTAATAATTAATTAATATAATTTATTTTTTTAAGAAAAAATGTTTAAATAACATATTCCAAATATGATAAAACGTTTTCCATATGTTTTTCAGAAAAATGTAATTCATTTCAAGAAAAACATTTTCCAGAAAATGTTTTCCAGAAATGTAATTCATTTTTCAGAATTCAAATTTCAGTAATTCATTTTTCAGAAAATCAATTACAGCTAAACAAACAGACCCTTATAAAATTTTAAGGATTAAAATACATTATGAATTAAAATTACAAAAAAAATATAATAAAATATACTAATTTATAGTTTTCAAGAGGCCACTACTTCCGCCCCGTCCTTCAACCGATCCCTGTCGATGGCATTTAAAGTATTATATGTTTATATAAATATTTAACGTGTTCATATATTTATCACGATAGATGTTTAGCATTTCGAAGATTTGTACGAATTTAAAGAATTTTATACACAGAGAAATCAGGACATTATGTAATGTCAGAACATAAAACTAATAAATCAAGACATTTAATATTTTCATTGATTCTTGGAGATGATGACGAAAATAGAAACATGTAGGAACAAAATTTAGTGATAAGCTGAATAATGAATTTAATATGATCGCAACATTGGGGGTGGGAAACAAAATGTCAAATTTAGTATTATTTGGAAACCGAAAAGTAAGATTCAACTAGTGTACAAACACAAGGAAAAATAATTTTATATAAAAAAAACTTCATTGGTTGGGGACCAAATAAATCAAAGGATAATAAGAAAAAAAGAGAGGGGAGTTGCTCTAAATTAAATTCCATATTTAACTAGCCTAGTATGGGCCATGGGTAACTAGGATGTTCATAAGTAGGATATAAATAAAATTTTAGAATAATCGCAATCAGTAAAATAAATAATTAATAGAAGAAATTTTAGATTTTAGGGTAAGTACATTTTTTTATCTAAACTTGTTGTAGATCTGTCACTAATCGTGACTCATATTTTTTGTCACTTGAACTCAACAAAAGAGAGAAAAAAAATCTTTTACTTGCATCCAATATGACTCTGGGTTAGAAGGATTCCGTCCTCTGAAACCTGACCTAATTTTTAAATTAAAACTTGCACTTGATCCAATTCGACTTGATATCACGCACCGAGTCAAAAATATAAACGCGTTTATTTTAAGTAGCAACAACGAATAGAACCACGTTTTAGAATATTTTATGTTTCTAAATCCACACAAATTTCCTTTTCGTTTTATGGATATTCCATCGTTGATTCACCATATTTATCTAAAAAAGTAGAAGAAAAATGATAAATTTATATTTTAATAATTTTGGAGTTATTCAGTCTCTTTCTATTACCATAAAAAACTTATTAGAGATTTATAAAGTTCAACCAAACAAACTTTATAGTTAACGTTGCCATCTGAATAATAATAATAATATATTTTTCTTGATAGACATGTTATACTTATATATTCCATAAATATATAATATTATCTTCGATATACAAAATATCTAAATAATTGAAAAAGTTGGGTTATTCTAATTTTTAGCGGTTTATCCCTTTTAATTGAGACAAAGAGTTATAAATCGATAGTTCGATGTAAAGATAATAAAAGACATGGGTTGAAGATGGTGATGAATAATCTTTGTGAGAGAAAGAGCATGAAGGAAATTGAGAATCTCTTTTGCTAATCGTGCATGATGACTTATTTATTGGCCCTTAATGTGAATATCAGACCCAGAGCGACGATGACTATCTGTAGCTTGATAGGCTAATAATATCTATTTGTCAAATAATATATTTGGCTTTGATAGATCACGTGGCTTGCCAAAGCTAACGCCAATAGTCTATTAATTGCTTAAAGAATGTAGAGTTTCGAACACTTTGAGAAGTTCCAAAAGATATGAATCTTTAGAATGCGTGAAATTTCAGAAGTCTTGACGCTCGACATCTAGAGAAATGACAACACAAATATTCTTTGGAGATTTCAAAAGAATTTTAAAGATCTCAACCCTTAATTAGACGAAGGAAGTTTAATAATCTTAAACTAAAATTTTTATTTTAATAATCTATCAAGTAATGATTTTACATGTAATCTATTTAATGTATTCGTTAATAAATTTTTATTCAAACTCAAAATTTAAGTAGAGAACGATATTATGTATTAGTGTGACAAATGAGAAAAGGGGATAAACAAAGTCGTTAAAGGCATGGTTTTGACTTCTACCGACCAAATCACTACAAATTGGGCAAATGTCAACTCTACCCCCAAATATACATAACCAAACGCCGAAAGAAACCCACGGAATTTCGTTACTGCATGTCAAAAACCCAACCAAATCAATTACCAACCGCCCTATGATTACGCCACGTGTGTTAAATCTTCCCTGTCCGCAATTCACTGGACACGGCCCCACTCAAAAGCTAACCCATCTTTTTCAATTAAACAAATTCTACTATTTTAAGAGTAAATAATCACTTACCTATTATTTAATTTCTGTTTTAAAAAATCGTTAATCTATTATTATTTTTAAATCATATATAATATTATATTTTGATCTTATTTTAATTATTTATTATTAAACAATTAAGAATTATATAAATATATTATCATAAAGTAATACTATACCAATAAAAAATAATAGAAGATATCACATCAATATTACAGTTGATTTCTTAAAGACGGATGATCCATAAAGAATCAAAATACAATATTAAGTATGATTTTAGAAAATAATGTTTGAGTATTAAAAAGTAAATTATAGAAATAGGTAAGTGATAGGATAAGTATTATACCCTTTTTAAATAATAAATTATTAATTAAATAAATTAAAGTGATAAAATTAAGAGTAATTTGAAAGTTAAGTAATTAAATTAAAAATAATAAACTTCAATGATCAAAATGGAAGTGAGAAATAGATGAGTGATGAATGATGAATTTACACATAAAATTGTGTCATACGCAGATGACCTATTAAATTTTTAACGATGTACTAAATCAAATAAAAACTAAACATTAGGTATAATTTTAAAAAATTAAAATATAGATACTAAAATAAATTTAAAATGATAGTTTAGGTACTAATATGTAATTTACCAAAAAAGAAATAGTAAACCCATCGTCTTTGCCTTTTTATTATCATCTGTACATTCCCTACATATCCATGAATACCAGCGACAAAATAATGATTCAGATTTCTAGACTACTAGTGAATATTTTTCTAAGGTATTCATTTATGTAGTTTTTTTTTAATTTTCTGTTTAGTTTTGTTCAGATTCAAATGGTTTAAGGAGAGATTTAAAATCCTTCATTGTTTTCGGGGGGAAAAAGAGAGAGAGAGGCATTAGGCATACTCTGCGATGGGTCTTTGCACTTCCAAAGCTTCTCCAAACCCATCGTTTTTTCCAAATTCCGATTCAAGGAATACCCCAATCCATCCCCGGAATAATGATATCCACACTAAGTCCAACTCTATTCCACCTTCGCCATTACCTGATGTATTGAACGCTAACCAAAACTACAACCACAAGGATGATCAAGCTAAACAAGACAAGGAAACTTCAAATTCCAGCAATGAAGGCAAGAAATCGCCCTTTTTCCCGTTTTATAGTCCTAGTCCAGCTCACTACTTGTTCTTCAAGAAGTCTCCGGCGACATCTTCCGCCAATTCCACTCCAAAACGGTGTTAGATGACTACAGCAATTGCCATCGAGGATGTTAGAAGGGAGGTAAAAATACTGAGAGCTCTGTCCGGACATAACAATCTAGTTCATTTCTATGATGCACATGAGGACCACGATAATGTCTACATAGTAATGGAGTAAGTACCTTATGAAAAACATGAATTGATTCAACAGTTGTGTGTTTTCCCTTTTGTGATGGGGTCTATTGCTGATGGTTCTAATAAGTTACCACACATTGTTCAGATTATGTGAAGGAGGGGAACTCTTGGACAGTATTCTGTCAAGGTATTTCTTCTAATAATAGGTGCATCGATGTTCTGTTTCATTGACTGACCAAATGTAGGAGATTGTGGATGAATGAAACTTAGGATTTGACTACTTATGAAGTTTATGCTGCTATATATGCAGGGGTGGAAAATACACTGAGGATGATGCAAGAGTTGTGATGATTCAGATACTTAATGTTGTTTCCTTCTTTCATCTGCAGGGTGTTGTGCACCGCGATCTTAAACCTGAGGTGAAATGTATTTCCAGGTTTTCTGATATTAGTTTTTGAGTTTTATTTAATGGTTTTGGGGTCTAATGTAAGATTTCGAAGGTGTATTTAAGGGTTTTCCATTAGGATAACTGGTGTTAAATATCCTTTTAAGCAATAACATTCACAAACAAGCACCTAAGGCTATTTTCTGGATCATGTCCATTCTATCACGTTGTATTTTTCTCGTGAGCCACGGAATGCTTTAACAGTTAGATTATCAAATATCTGCCCACAATTGTTCTAAGTGTAGCTATTTTCTGGATCAGAATTTCTTGTTTACATCAAAGGATGAAAATTCACAATTGAAGGCCATAGACTTTGGCTTGTCTGATTTTGTGAAACCAGGTTTGTACTCTATTTTCTTTTATTTAAGTTCTATGCTTTATTTATTTGATTGGTTTGTTAATATGTTCTTTCTTTTTCCATTTGTAGATGAAAGGCTTAATGATATTGTTGGTAGTGCATACTATGTTACACCAGAAGTTCTACATAGGTCTTATAGTACGGAAGCGGATGTCTGGAGTATAGGTGTGATTGCTTATATTCTATTGTGTGGAAGTCGTCCATTTTGGGCCCGGACAGAGTCTGGGATATTCCGAGCTGTTTCAAAAGCTGATCCAAGTTTTGATGATGCACCTTGGCCATCTCTATCTTCTGAGGCTAGGGATTTTGTGAAACGCTTACTGAACAAAGACCCAAGGAAAAGATCGACTGCAGCCCAAGCCTTGAGTGAGTGCCTCATCTACTGTCACAAGCTCGTAATTCTTATGATCTTGAAATTTCACTCACAATTGTCTACTGCAGGTCATCCCTGGATAAAAAATTATAACGACGTGAAAGTACCCGTGGATATACTTATATTCAAACTCATGAAGGCTTACCTACGTTCCTCATCTCTTAGGAAAGCTGCATTAAGGGTATGTATATGGTGATATGTATCAGCACTATTCTATATTTCTAATTCTTGGCGTGTTTATCAATGTGTAGGAAACACCTGCATTTTGGTGTGTAGAAAATATTGCTTAGACATGGTGTTTGAAAGTTTTGGCCAGCGCAACTTAAGTGATCTAAGCCAACTTTTGAAAGTTGCTTCGGGTGGCCAAAATAGGTTGGTTTATGCCACTACCAATCTGAGCCTTGTTGTGTACCCTCTAGTGGGTTCTGTATTGGGGCAAAATAATCATCAAAGGTCACAAACAGTGTGTGGCTTATAAGTTGTCTTTTGAATAGTTTATGCTTGTTTCAATTGTGAAGTGATGATTTTTTTGGGGGGGGGGGGAAATCCATTAGGCTTGAGTGAAAATTTGTTCAGAAAAGTTTTTATTACCATCTTAATCTTTATCTGACTAGCATTCGAAAGGTTTTTTCTTATTATTATTTTTTGAAGTCTCCTTTTGTTTGAGCATGCACCTAATAGGTTTCATAATTCCATATCCTTTCAGTACATGGGATTTCTAGCTAGCTCCTGCATTTTTCGGTTTGCTTATTTCCATTTTCATTGGTATTTTTTCAGGCTTTGTCTAAAACTTTGACTGTGGATGAGCTATTTTACTTGAAGGAGCAGTTCGCACTATTGGAGCCAAACAAAAACGGCACTATAAGCTTGGAAAATATTAAAGTGGTTGGTATTTATCCCATTGTCCTTTTCCCGTATGATTAATCATCTAATGCTCTTGTCCTGGTCAGGCCCTGATGAAAAATGCAACAGATGCTATGGAGTCTCGCATCCCTGAATTTCTAGCATCAGTAAGTTCTTCCTCCACTGTTAATTGTTGTGGCAATCAATGGGAACTTCACGTTTTCTGAATCTCTACACTTTTTTCCTTGTGTGGTAGCTAAATGCACTTCAATACAGAAGGATGGACTTTGATGAATTCTGTGCAGCTGCATTAAGTGTTCATCAGCTCGAGGCTCTTGATAGATGGGAACAACATGCTCGCTGTGCTTATGAACTTTTCGAGAAGGATGGAAATAGAGCTATTGTCATCGATGAACTAGCTTCGGTATGCTGATCTGCTCTTGCTTCACCTGGGAAATTCTTTACTTATTTCCATTTTGTTCTGCCATTTTCGAAGCAACAAAAACCCTGACTAATCCCTAACGTTTTGATGATGACTTGTCAGGAACTCGGACTGAGCCCATCCGTGCCGATTCACTCTGTCCTCCATGATTGGATTCGTCACACCGATGGAAAGCTAAGTTTTCTCGGATTTGTTAAGTTATTGCATGGTGTATCTAGCCGAACCTTTGCAAAAGTTCAATAGAAGTTGAAGTACTTCAGTAAGAGCTCAAACAAACAATTGCATCTTGACTACCCTGACTACATATATAATACCGGTAGAGGAAATGTTGTGGGCACAAGCTTATAAAAAAACACATGATTGATGCCTGGTGCACCTGCAATTTAACATAGGACAAAGGTGTAAGAATTTGATGTTTTCAACTGCAAAATTGTAGTTAAAAAAAATGTGTTCAATTGCAGAAGTTGAGAATATTTCTCAACTGGTTTCAAGAGACATAACCTGATATATTTCGGCCAGCCTCATGAAACCATGATTGTATCATCTTCTTGTCCCCTCTGTTCTATAATTTGTAATGAAAAGTTCTTGCGCTTAAATTTATCTTCCTTTGCTTCAATTTATGATTGAATAAGTTGGTAAATTTAAATGCTGGAAAAAGAAAAATGAAAATTAAACTGTTGGGATAAATTTAAATTTCATTATATAAGAATCTATAAAATCATTAAATGCATTTTAAAATTTTCTATAACTGTCGGACTAATAACTAATAAAGTTATTTTGCATTCATCATAGAATAATTTTCAATATTCAAGTTGTATTTTATAGAAAACTCTAAAAACTTAGTTTTCTCTCATTAGTGTGTCACTCATCCTTTTTTTTATCTTTGTCGATTGACAACGGCACCAACTTTAATATTGCTTACTGACTGTCGGTATTCTTTATTATTTTTTATTTTATATATCATATCTTTATTTTCTTTTATTTTTAATAAGTATGTCTGTGTTACACGTTTTCATATGCATTTATGACACATTTATTTATGCTTTTTGGCATGTTTTCGATTTTTTGGCCTTTTTTTCATTTATTTTTTTTTCTAAAAGTGAATTTACATTGTCACGACTGATCAAGATACCACTTATATGATATTTTGTTGATCTTTCCTTCTTTGGACCATCAAATTGGATTTGGATACCCGATATGCGTTCATGGATAGTTTTTTACGTCGCTCGAGTTTGATTTACGGTTTGTCGGTGGTTTTTCAATAGTTTGATTCCCTTTTGGTTCGTTTGCCGATGCAATTAGATCTGTTTGTATCTATCTTTGTTTGAGTTTCTTGGTTAGATTTAATCTTTCCTTGTATGATCCTTATATGATTTTAAGTTGCTAGTTTTGTTTAAATAATTATAGGAATTTTTTTTAATTACGTGTTTAATTTACAATTGTAATTGTGACGGTAAATCTTTATTGTAATTTGAAATATTTTCTTAGTTGCTTCTATAAAAAAGTTGTATTTTATATCTTATCACTGTTCGGTAGTGTCTTCCTTGACACCTTTAGGTGCTTGGACTATTCGCCTAGAAATTTCATGTTTTAGAAATTGATTTAATTGCACTTGAATAACTTATTTCTATTTTGGCTAATTACTCTATATCTATAATTAGGGATGGACATGGGTCCGACCAGGTTGGATTAGATTTTCGGTCCACCCAACCCGATGTAAAAATTATAAATCCTCCACTTGATTCGAACCTTATTCGAAAAATTTACACCATCCACCCAACCCTATTTTTTGAGATAAAATTCGAACCTGACTCGAACCAACCCGAATAATATATTTATTATAAAAATATTATTTTTATTTAATAAAAATAGGAATTAAATTGAAAGAAAATAATATATAAATGGGTATTATTGTAATTATCCCTAAATATATAAAGTAAAATTACATTTTTAGGTCGGGTCGGGTATTTTTCACCCTAAACCCGAACTCGAACCGACTCAAACTTGATTTTTTTAAAAAAAATACGACCCGATTGGGTCAGAAAATATCGGGTTCGAGTTTTATGCCCATCCCTATCTATATAATCCCTGATAAATTTAGGCTTAAATATACAAAAGGTGTTCAACGTATGTCTTTGGTTCTAGTTTAGTGACTAACGTTAATTTCGTTTTAATTTGATACCTAACGTTTCATTTCGTAACTCAAATTGGGTCAGGTTGTGAATGATAGTTAAGTTTGGATTTAAGTGACATGTGTCACAACCTAGTAATTTTAAATTTTTTTATTTAAAATTAAAATAATAAAATTATATATTTTTAAAAGGAAAACACAAATTTTGAAATAAACCCAAAACTTTGAAAACATTCATTTCAACCCCTAAACCCACACAGATCATCGCCTTTTGTCGTCAACGAATTCCACCAGACCTCCCCACCCCTTGGCGACCAAAACCCCCCATGAAATCGTGACCGATCGATGACGAATCAACGTTTTATACCCTGCGAACCCTAGGATGAAAATCACGATCCCACACGATTTCGACAGTTAATCGACCATCGATTGGTCACGATTTCATAAGGGTTTTGGTCTTCGGGGGGAGGGGAGGTTGAATGGAGCTTCGTCGATGGTAAAAAGCGGTGGTTGACGTAGGTTTAGGGGTATAAATGAAGGTTTTCAAACTTTTTGATTTATTTCAAAATTTGCGTTTTCCTTTTAAATATATATATATATATATATATAATTTTAATTTTTTAATTTTAAATAAATTTTTTAAATTATCAGACTGTGATATGTGTCACTTAACGGTTCGTCATGGCATGACCCAATTTGAGTTACGGAACAAAAGGTTAAGCACCAAACTTGAACAAAATAAATATTAGACACTAAACTGGAACCAAATGTATACGTTAGACACCTTTTATATATTTAAGCCATAAATTCATATTCAAAATCCTCATTTTGTTTCTTTATTATATATTTATAAGCATAAGAAGTATATATTTTATATAACTATATTCCTAATATATTTTAAAGTTCTAATAATAAAGTACATCATAGTTTAAACATATTAGATATTCATATAATTAAATATTTATAATAAAAATATTAATTCTTGAACCTTAAATTTTTTAAAAATAAAATTTGTAAATATTATGGGCAATTTTTTTTTTGAAAAATATAGGTTTTGAAAATTTATTTTTAGATTTAAATCATTTATTACAGGACTATGAGATAATGACAAAGTCCATAAAATATTATAGAACCTGACATTTATTATATTTTATAGAACTTTCATTCTCTCGTCAAGAATTTACAGTAACAAATGACTTAATCCCTAAATAATTTTCAAACACTTTATTCTCTAAGTCTCTTGTTTCACCCAAAATTTTGGCCAACATTATCAATTTTTTCCTCTCATTTTCTTAACCAAAAAAATAAAATAAAATATATTTTCTTCAAAATTATCTATTATTTTAGTAAATATACCGATATTTTTTTAGAAAATAATTATCTGTTTTTTATTCTTTTAATTTTTCTTTTTTTATCGAATCTCGGTATTTCGCAAAGTTAGCTGCAAAATCCAAAAGAGAAACGGGTGAGCCAACTGTTTTAAAAAAAAATCTAAACATGACTATTATTTAATGATTTTTTTCTAACGATATACACCTAAGGGTGCGTTTGGTTCACGGAATGTAAGATTACCAGTGGGAATAAAAGATTACCAGGGAATAGGATTACTGGGAATGTTGTATTTTGTGTTTGGTTGATTTAGCAGGAATGTAAGATTACTGTGTTTGGTCAAAGGAATAAAAGATTATTGGAATGTATATTTGACCAAATTGTCCTTATTATATATTTGTATAATATTACAAATTGTAAAATATTTATATATTTTCTTTAAAAAATTAAATTCATAATATTTATATAATTTTTTTACAAAATTAAAAATATAAAAAATGTTTAATGAAAGGGTAAAAAAAATTTAACCCCTAAACTTCATATAAAATTTTAATTATAGACTTTTTTTGTAAATGTAAAATAATTTAAGGATAAATTTGTAATTTAACATTCGTAGAATTTTTATTATTTAATGACAGAAGAAGGATATTTTTGAAAAAAAATAAAAATTTAAGGGCATTTTAGTCCAAAACGCCGGTAATGTTACAATACCTAAAGGAAGGGAGGTAATGACATTCCCGGTAATATGCCCCAAAAAATCTACTATTGGTAATAAAATATTACCGGGAATGAGATTTCCGACCAACCAAACATGGGAATGTGCCACATTCCTTGAACCAAACACCCCCTAAGTGTAACAAAAAAAAATTGATTATAGTTTCGGCGGCCAATATTCTACGCCACCACCTGACTCACTGAGTACATCAAAACTGATGCCAAGTAATAACGGGTCCCATTCTGTAACAGAAATGGTGTTGGACTCGGAGCTAATCGCCCGCCTCTGGGAGTTCTTAGACGAATCCGACCTGAACACCACCACCACCGCAATTGTACGGCGGAGATTGGAGCAGGATTTCGGTATCGATTTGACGGACAGAAAGAAGTTTATTAGAGAGCAAGTCGATTTATCTCTTCAAAACCAGTTCGAAAATGCCAAAGAACAACAAGAACAAGATTATCAGACGGACAAAATTAAATCAGAGGAAACCGACGGCTCTGATTCGGACGACGCAGAGGAGGAAACTGAAAGAGCGAGGAATAAAAGGGCCTCTTCAATAAAACGGTCAGTTCTTAACTAACTAATTAATTAGTTTATACACAATTTTAGGCCCTGGTACTATTTTTCTTAGTTTATTTCTTTTTGAAAAGGTTTAGATGATGCTTTGTTAGAAGCTAAATGTGAGATTACGTTGCTTACGCTTATGACTATGCTTTAGCTTTAGAGTTGTGCATTTTTTTTAACCTTTTAAAAATGCAAGTTTAAGTAAAAAAATGTTTTGGATGAAGATATTTGACAGAACCTATTTGTATTAATCTAAACAGGTGTTTAATTTAAATCCGACTCGCACTGCCGTGGAAGTCATCCCTTCAAGATTGATTTATCATCAAAACGAAAATGAATAATAATAACAACGACAACAACAACAATAATGTGATTTCCCTTTTTCTTTTGTCTCAAAAAACGTGAAGAATTCATTAATCTGGGATTGTATTTTTACATTATTATAGAAAATATTTCTTATAATTTTCACCTATGTTGATTCGGAAAAACTTTAACTTTCTTTTGGAGCTTTGAAAAACTTTAGTCAACTGCTTAATAGTGAAAATGCTTTTAATTTATATGATCTTAGTAGGCAATTTGATTTCCAAATTCGTTTGTTCTTATTTGTCTTCTGAATAATTGGATTTTATGGAAACGTTTGTTTCTCCTCTTCTCCCATTTGTCTAATAAGTAGTGTTGAGATTTTTGCTCTCTGTCTGTAAATGATCCTTTTCAATAGGTGATGCTGCCAGTACATAAAATGTAAAGATTGTGATCTGCTTGCTGCAATGCTTTAAAACAAGTGCAAACTACCATATGTTCTCTCTTTGTGATTTAAATTTGGCCTCTGGAACACGAAACATGGGTCCTATTCTCCCCCTTAGTTGTGCGTGCCTTTAAGCTCTGGTTATTTTATAAATTTTCAACCCATATGTTGCAGTATTTTTATTTTCTCATTGACCTAATCTGTATAATTAGACTCTTGAAGATTCTCGACAATCAAAATGTTCTTCCCATTCTTTGATATTTCGGGGGCTGGGAGAAGGAAATGGGTTGATCTTGAACTTGCAATAAATAGACTTCATATTCTCATTTCTAACAAGATAGATTAGCTTTTGTATGAAGATGCCTTCCAGGTTACTTTACAATGACTTCTTATCTAAGTTGCATCAAGCCTTGGATGTTCTACAGACTTCTTTCTTCACTCATGAACCAATAATCTGTTTTGTAATATTTGTTAACAACAATTGGTACTGTACAACCAGAGTGGCAGGACCCGGTGAGTAATTTGGTAAAGTTTAAAAACTGCTATTTCATGTGGATCGGTGAGCCTATTTTAAAGTGAGTTATGTGTCAATTGTTGATACTATATCAGCAACTTAGAGTCTCCCTCTCAAATCCACTAATTTTCTAGAATATACCTATATTAAAAGTTTCGTTTTACATTATCAACTTATAGTTGCTAGTTTGTGAATCCTGGATGTCTCATTTATAATATAGGTCAAAAAGAGTCGATAGTGAAGGTAAGAGAAGAGGAGGTGGTTTTAACAAAGCAAGCAGACTTTCCCCACAACTTCAGGAACTTTTTTAGGAGTCCCTGAATTGGCGAGGACTGAGGTAACTTTGAAACATCTCGATAAATTTTCAGTTTCTTATTTGTTAGTTTCATAATTCAGGAAGCTATTTAGTTCTAAAATTTCTGTTTTACAATGGTGCTAGGTAGTCAAGCAAATATGGGCTTATATTAGAGAGAAAAATTTGCAAGACCCAATTAAATAGAAAAATATAATTTGTGATGAGCAATTGCATGCAATTTTTGGTGTTGATTCCATTGACATGTTTCAAATGAACAAAGCCTTGTCAAAACACATCTTGCCCTTGGATCTAGATGATGGTAATAAATCTGCCCCTTCAACCATTTTGCTTTTGTTAAAATATTTTAGATAATGTTATTCCATATGTTTGGTTTTTGGCTCAAATTTCTCTACTTTTCTGAAACGTGCAAGTGAAAACTGCCGATTCTACAGCTAGTAACCGGTAAATGTGTTGGAAATCAGAAAAGCACTTCTTTATCGTAAATTCTTAATGTCGCTTTTTTCTCAGGAATCAGGGCATTATTAAATCAAGGAAGGATACTGTTTTCCCTTCAGCAATATGCTCCAAATGTCTTCTAAGTCCAACCAATGTATTATCTAATATGATATGCTGCCTTTGTTTCAGTCAAGTCATTGGAGAAGGAAAAACCATGGAAGCATGAAAGAGAAGAAGGTATGGATAGTACATTAGTAAATTAAGGTCTTCCCATGAACTTGTTTTGCATTGATAGTTTTGATATGAGGAGTTAGTGAATGACTAAATTAGGCTCACAGCTTGCCTTTTGGCTGTAGCATTAAATTAAGGAAGAATACTTTTGTATCTTTAGCACTATGCTGCAAAGGCCTTGTAAGGTGAACTTATCTATTATTAAATATGATGTGTAAATTTAACTATATTGGCTTCCATGTTATAATTGTTCCAGTCAAATCAATGGAGAAGGAAAAACCAAGAAATCACGAGAGAGACGAAGGTATGGATAGTATATTACTAAATTAATGTCTTCTGTGCAGAACTTGTTTTGCTTCGATAGAGGACTTAGAACGTCTAGTGCTCACATCTTTTCTACCATTGTCCATTAGCAGCACCTTCAATTCAGATTTTGCTTCCCACACAGGATTCTAAAAAGGTCTTTTTACTTTTGTTTCTTGAAAGAACACACTATTAAAGTTCTTTTGCTATATGTATGTTTTGCGGCCCCCAATTCTGGCTCCGCCTCATCTATTTAAATACAGATTCAATAATCCTCTATATGATTTTTTTGTTTATACTTCTTCCTATGTTTTGTTCCAAACATATTTTGAATCAAGTTTGCGCTGGTTGTCATCCCTTATTTTGTTCAATCCTTAACCCTGCATTGCGATGATACCAGTTACCTCCTTTCTTCTGCATGCACATGTCTCAGCATTTGCGCGGTTGTATCCGTTCAGATCCAGATGAAGAAAAGCAAAGGAAAAAGCGACAGAAGGGATTTCTTGCTCCTCTTCAACTTTCGGACGCTCTAGTAAAATTTCTTGGAACCGGAGAAAATGAGCTTACGCGGGCTTCTGTAATAAAGAGAATGTTGGATTACATAAAAGAAAATAATTTCCAGGTATCTGATGATCCACCTTGCCGAATGATAGCAATATTTATTTACCAAAGTCGTGAATAGCCTACTCATTAGTTTAGTGATCATTCATAACTGCATTATAGTTGTATACCATTCTTTATTCAACTTTATTATATATTTTTATCGATCTGTCGAATCTGCAAATTTTTTAGCTGGATATGGTTATATAATATTTCACTGGATTTCATTTTGAAGGATCCATCTGACAAGAGGAAAGTAATATGTGACGAGAAGCTGAAAGAGCTCTTCGATGTCGAAACCTTCCATGGGTTCACTGTTACAAAACTCTTGGCTGCTCATTTTCTCAAGAGTTGACCTACTTGGATTGCGGGTATCGTTCTCGTTAAGAAACAAGGAATCCATTCATTGTTTTGCTTAGGAGAGGGAGAATATGTCAATGCTTTTAATCATGGTTTTCAGAACCGGACCGGTTAGCGAACCGGTTATGTTACTGGTTCACTGGTTCAACCGGTTGAACCGGTCCGACTGGTCGGAAGAATCGGACGACGTCATAATTATTTAAAAAATTAAATAAAAATATCAAAAATATTTAATAAAAAATAATTTTTTATATCACAAGTCATATTCAAAGCAAATCATAACATATATAAGTTAAAAACCATAAAATCAAGTGAAACAAAATGATTCAAATTAACTACAACATAATATTTAAGGTAAAACATATTAAATAATAAATATAATTATATTATTATAATTAAAAAATAAATTTAGGGTTAAAAAATCATAACAAAATGATATTGTTTGGTTTAATTTTTTTTAAAACAATCCCACATGGCTAAAAAACATAGAAGAGTATCCCAAAAGTCTAAAGAGTAAAAATATGAGAACAAAACAATCTCACATTGCTAAGAAACATAGAAGCGCATCACAACTAACTTCTATAAATAATAGAGGTAATTTGATATTCAAAATCATGGAGCCTTTTGGTGAGCATTGAGTGAACTATTCTTTCACTTCAATCAAGCTTGAATTTTAGGCTTCAATCAAGCTTCTAAATTTTTTTTGAGTTCAAGCCTTTTTGAGTTCAAGTTTCAATATTATATTTCGAGTTTGAGTTGAACTTGATAATTTTTAGCTTGTGAGTTTGAGTTGAGTTGAGTTTACTTTTAAAGTTTTCAAGTTCGAGTCGAGTTCAGCAATATTCGAGTTCGACTTGGCTCGTTTATCAAACGACGTTGTTTGGTTTAATTTTTTTTTAAAAAAAAACAAAAATCCCGGTTTTTTTCGGTTTTTTTCTGTTTTCAGCCGGTCCGGTTCGAATGGTTCAGCGGTTCTGGCCGGTTCACTAATAGCGGTTCAACCGGTTTAGATTGAACCGAACTAAGCAACGGTTCCCGATTGAACCGACCGATCCAGTTTTCAAAACAGAGCTTTTATTTGAGGCTCTGTATTTTATTAATTTAAGGTACAAGGACCATGTTTAGTTGACGAACATACAACTTGCAGATCAAGTAGGCTCAAGGGCGTGGTTGAGGGTGTGTAAGGTGGGCAACCGCATAGGGTTCCTAAAAAATAGGGGCCCTCGAAATCGAGTATATATATATTAGTTGTTGTCATTAATAAGCATAAAAATAGGGGTCTCGAAATTGAGTATATTTATCAGATGTTGCCATTAAGAAGCATAAAAATAAAGCTTCCGAAATTGAATATATCTATCCGTTGTTACTATTAAGAAGCATAAAAGTAAGAATCTCAAAATCAAATATATTTAAAAAATAAACAACCTATTCACAACCCTAAAAGGCTACAATTGAGGTTCTATAAGTTTATTTCAAAGTTCAAGGAGAACCTTGAAAACTAAGAAAAATGGCTAGTCATTTCACCTTAAACATCAAAATCACTCTAAAAACTCAAATAAACATAACCAAATAGTAATTAAATTACGTCTATAGAAGCACCAGGTAAATTTCTAGCTTGATTGGATTTTGAAAACACGTTGGATTATAAAATCATCTTTAGGAACTAATTTGTAATACACAATTTATGTTTTATTATAGATTTAAAAAATATTAAATTTCCAGTTTATTTATAAAATAAAGGTTGTGATAGGTCTACTGTTGGAATATCATATTCTTTTGAGTTAAAATCCATCTTAAAATTCGGAGATTGTTTTGTAAAATATCACTTATTTAAGTATTAAAGGTTTAAAATCGACTTTGGAGGAGTTAATAGGGGTGTAAATGAGCCGAGTTAAGTTTGAGTATTGTTTAGCTCGATTCAACTTGAAAATCCTGAAAAAAAGCTTGACTAAAACTCATGAGTTTAAAATTTTCAAGCTAAACTCAAATTCGAAATCCTGAACTGAAGCTCGTGAGGAGTTCGAAAATGCTCAAAATGATTTTTTTTTCTCTTATATTTAACTTAATTAAAGCCTCAAACTTGAACATGAACTTTAAATACATGAAAAATTTATTATATTTTTTAAATCAACACATAAATATTAATTTTATTAATAATTTATTTTTTAAAAAAAATAAAATCTTAATATATTATATTTTCGAGCTGTTCACGATCTTTTCGAGTCAATTATCAAGTAACTCGTTTAGGCTCGTTAAGAACTCGAGCCGAGTCCATTCGATCCAAGTATTTGTCGAGCCTTAACCGAATCGATTTCGAATAGCTGGCGATTTGTCTCGTCTCAATTACAGCAGCAGGAGAAATTTAAAACATTTTCTCATGTTTTTAAATACGAGGGATTGATCCATATCATTTCAATAAACTCTCAAAATTTGTTTCCGACAATAAAATAAGAGAGATAGATCAATTTTTCTAGAAAATTAAATAAAATAATTTGAACGTACAATTTTGAGTTGATATTTATATACCTAATCGATCTTATGTTTGATTAACGAATATAAATGTACCTGAATAATCACAAACATGCCAAAACGTATCATAATCATATTTCACACGTTCAAATTAACATTTGATCTTGTGGTGGGAACTAATACTTGAACATTAATGGCAATTTACCTATTTTTAACATACCATTTTCATGCTCTGTGACTTATCCAAGTATACCAAACCATAAAATCTAATGTATCTATTGAGTTGCACGTGTAAAAGTTTTCTTCAAGAAGACATAGTCAAGAGCAATCACAATGGATGAGAGATTACATATAGACTGAGCATTGCTATAAACGAAAACGTTTCCTAATAATAAATAATTTTCTTTTACATGTAACTATTAGCTACGAGTCTACACTTATAAATTTTATTTCTTTTCTGGGCTTCCGGAATAAATATACCAAGAGAAGATCCTGGGCTACCGGAATATATGTACCAAGAGAAGATCCTGGGCTACCGGAATATATGTACCAAGAGAAGATCCTTTATAACATTGGTAAACTGGTTGGCAAAGTCGCGAAACCCGACTTTAATAAAGGAACGAGCAATAGAAGATGATATGCTCTAGTGGCTGTCTACGTCGACCTTAAGGCTCCGCTCATATCTCGGGTGGTAGGTAATCGAGTTCAAATTGTTAAGTATGAAAATAAGCCATCTATTTGTTTTTCCTGCGGCAGGTACGACCATAACCAGGAAGCTTGTAACCACAATAAACAACAACTACCCTCAATCAAGCAAATCGCAGCAGCCGACGGATAATAACTCGTCCCAGGCTACTGTTCTCGCGGCTCAGAATGCAAACGCCCAGGCTGTTCCGGTTGTTGATCCTAATCCTACATCGGAAGACGCCCCGTATGAGCCCTGGATGGTGGTGGAAAGGAGACGCCGGCGACCCCAATAGAAGGATAACAAAAAAAAGGAAACTGCCAAGAATCCCAAAATTGTTGGCACGAGATTTGATGCCTTAAATGTGATTCAAAACCAAAATGGCAAGTCGGCATCATCCTCTGGCGACAGTGCAGGAGATAATCGTGGAAATTTGATTCCTCAATCCAGCCCCAAAATTAAGGCTATTCCTCATAATATGGCCGTTGTCGAGCCCCAAGCCAGCACTCCCACACGTATTACTCCCACTGTGAACTTGCCTTGTTTGCCTATTGGCAACGTGTCTCGATTGCAACATGAGGGACCTACCACTATTTCCATGCAACGTGAAAATTCGACTGGGAATAAAGAAATCATTTCCTACGTGGAGTCTAGTTGCCCTCCAATCCATTGTTCTATGGCTATGGTTCAAGAAACAGTACAGCTTAATGGTTCTCAATTTTTGACTAATAATAATCCCTTTTTTTATTGTTCCTCAGGTTCATCTGCTCAGAAGGTTACGGTTTCCTTGGACCCGAAGAAACATGCAGCTGTCACATTTCTTGAAGGACAAAACCAACCCGAAACTAATGTGTCAAAACCGGGTCCAAGAAGTACTATCAGTCTCAGTTCCAATGTTAAAGAGAGGAATACTCCCTATGCCATTCGGAATAAAGGACTGAAGGTCAAAAAGAGGAATACGGACCGCTTGCCATTGAAAGAGAAGATGCAAGAGTTGGGCCCATAGTCTTCAGGAACACGCCAATTCTATTATTCCCAAGTCTATCGACATAGATATTGGTAACAACCAATAGTGGTAACCCTTTCTCTCTTATTTTTGTTATGGATTTCTCCTTATTTTCTTGGAATTGTCAAAGCTGTGGTGGGATTAAATTCCCGAAGGTTTGTAAGGAATACATGCAGGATTATCGTCCTAATATGGTCGTGCTCCTTGAACCTCGTATTAGCGGTATAAAAGCGGACCAAGTCATTTCCAAGCTCGGCTTCGCTAATTCTTTTGTGTCGAGGAGGTTGGTTTTTCAGGAGGTATCTGGCTCCTCTGGAACGACCCTCTGTCCGATGATATTATTGCGGTCCATCCTCAATTCATTCACTCGAGAGTTTCCAGAGTCTTTGGTTCTTACCCTTTAATGGTCACCACGGTTTATGGTAGCCCGGAGAGATCAAAGCGGATGACCCTCTGGAACGATCTTAATAATGTCCCTTCTTCGGACTCGACCCCCTGGATTTTAGCAGGGAACTTTAATGCCATTCTCTTTGGGAATGAGAAATCTAGTGGAGCTCGCAGGGGGTGGGGTGTAGTCGCTTTCTTAATTTCCTCAATCAGTATAATCTTATGGATCTCGGCTTCAAAGGGCCTCAATTTACTTGGACTCGCGGGGTTGTTTTTGAAAGGCTCGATTGTATGATTGCTAATGATGTCTGGATCGGAATGGCTTCCAATTCGACTGTCAACCATATTCCTAGACTTAAGTCGGATCACAAGCCAATTTTTCTCCGCATTGATGAGGCTCATTCCAAAAGCAGGGGTCCAAGACCTTTTCGGTTTATAGCTGTCTGGACGAAGCATCCGAATTTTAACTCTTTCATTTGGGACTCTTGGAAGTTCGAGGTGGAACATTAGCAGTCCTATTTGCACTGAAGCACTTAAGAATTGGAATAAAGAGGTCTATATGGGCATATTATCCAGAAGAAAAAGGAAGCTTAAAGGCGAGATTGCTAAGGTCCAAGCCAACATGGATGCTTTGGGCACTAATCACCTTATGGCTAAGGAACTTGAGCTTCGGGCTGAGTTGGAGGAGACCCTCGACCACGAGGAAATGCTTTGGAAACAAAAATCTGGGAGTATGTGGCTTCTCGAGGGGGACTGTGATAAGAAGTACTTCCATAGTCGAGCTCTCACTAGGCGTAAACGTAACAGAATTCAAGCTCTTAAAATCAGCAGTGGCGAATGGTGCTATGATGAGAAGCTTCTTCTTTCTTTGAGAATCTTTTCCGTAAGGAGGGCTGTAGTAGTGGTCGTTTTCCTATCAAAGGTGCTTTTCCCCGTCTTTCTACTGAAGACTCCTACATGTTTAATGCCCCGGTTACTAATGAGGAGATTAAGTCTACCCTTTCTGACATGAGTCCCCTTAAATCCCTGGGGCTGATGGGCTTCATGCTCTTTTTTACCAAAATCAATGGGATATGGTTGGGGCTTCAGTTTGCGAGTGGGTTAGGGGCATTTTCAATGGCAATCATCCGGATCCTGTGATTAATAAAACTCTCTTGGTTCTCATCCCGAAGATAGGTAGTCCGGAGACCTTTGCCGACTTTGGTCCTATCAGTTTATGCACGGTCCTGTATAAACAAGTTATAAAGGTTATTGCTAACAGATTTAAAGTGATCTTCCCCAAGTTAATCGCTCAAAACCAAGCTAGTTTTATTGCTGGTCGTAACATCACTGACAACATCCTTATTGCTCAGGAAGTTGTGCACTCTATGCGTATCAAGAAGAGGGGTAAGGTTAAGTGGATGACTGTTAAGGTTGATCTGAAAAAGGCTTATGACCGCGTTCGATGGGATTTCCTTTCTGATTCTCTAGAGGATATGGGGTGCCCAACGTTCATTCAGAAACTTATTATGGATTCCGTTTCGTCCTCTACTATTCAAATCCTTTGGAATGACACCTTATCTAAAGAGTTTAAGCCCTCTCGGGGGATTCGTTAGGGATGCCATCTCTCCCCTTACCTCTTTGTCCTCTGTATGGAGCGGCTTAGTTAGAGCATCCGGTATGCCATGGATATGGGTCTTTAGGAGTCGATGGCCCTCTCACGTCACGGCCCTCCCCTTGTCCCACCTTTTCTTTGTGGATGACATAGTTCTTTTATGTAAAGCATCTTCGAGTCAGGCCAATTTGTTGCAAGCGATTTTGGATCAGTTGTCTTTCTCGGTTCACACAGTTAATTCCAACAAGACGAGAGCTTTCTTCCCCTCTAATGTCCCGGATAATACAACTATTTCACTTTGTAGAAGTATGGGGTTCAGTCATGCAATTGACCTCAATAAGTACTTGGGCATGCTCCTGTTCCATAAGAGAGTGTCTAAAACTATTTTCTAGTTCATTATCGACAATGTTAATAATAAGCTGAACGGATGAACGACAACCAAGCTTTCTACTGCTGGTCGTATCACCCTGGCCAAAGCCACCTTGTTAGCAATCCCCAACTACTTCATGCAAACGGTTGAGATTCTGCGTGGTGTCTGCGACAAAATTGAGCAGATTGCCCGTCTTTTTATCTAGGGTAGCTCTAGTAACAGCTCCAATATGGCCCTTATCAGTTGGGATAATTGCTGCCAACCCTACAGTTGTGGAGGCCGTGGTATTCACAAGCTTCACACTCAGAATGAAGCCTTTCTTGACCAAGCTGGGTTATAATCTTATTGTGAGGCGCGACGCTCTTTGGGTTAATGTCCTTAGATCGAAGTACAAAATTGAAGAGAACTTCCCAATCCAGATTCACCGACCCAAGTGCTCCTATGTGTGAAGATCTCTTAGTCGCGTTTAGAATTTCATACGGAAGAATGCTTGTTGGTCATTAGGCGATGGCCAGAAAGCTAGGTTCTGGTCTGATCGCTGGATCCCTGATTCCTGTCCTTTGATTCTCCTCAGCGGTCGACGATTTGTGATAGTTCTGCTACGGTCCGTGATTTTGTTACTAATCGGTGTGATCATAAGGAGACTTTGGAAGCAAGGGAACGGTTTTGTCTTTCAAGGCCAAGTTTGGTCAACCTCGGAAATTATCCGATCGGCATTATCTTGGGCTAATGTGTTACATAGTAATGCTTCTGGTAATTCTTGCAGGTCTTCTCTTAGGCAGAGCCAGCCGTTGCGTCCTCCTCCTAATGGTGTGCTGAAAATCAATTCGGACGGATCTGTGCACCCATGTCACCATGGATGCATCTTGCGGGGGAGTTTTGAGAGATCATGAAGGACGGTGGAAGCTGGGTTTCATTCGTAATATCGGAAAGTGTTCGTCCTAAACGCCAAGCTGTGGGCGATCATGGACGGTCTGAAACTTGCTTGGGACATCGGAACAAGGAGCATTGAAGTTGAATCTGATAATAGTACAGCTGTTCGCACTCTTAAGTCTCCACCTCTGCCCAGTGATTCTACCATTATCCGTAGGATCCCGCAACTGCTGAGCCTGCAATGGTCTGTCAAGTTCACTTTCATTAATCGTGGGAAGAATGCTTTAGCGGATGCTCTTGCTAAGTTTGGTCGCTCGATGGAATTAGGGCTAACGGTGCTTGAGCAACCTCTGACTGAGGTTCAGGAGCTGCTCGACAAAGATATAGATTTCCGTTCTGCTAGCTAATCACTGCTTTGCAGTTTATTTTTGCAACCAAAAAAAGAATTAGTATAACAATATTAACTGAACCTAGGACATGATATCCATTTGGTGTTAAAATATCTGGCTGATGACGTCACCGAAACCATCCGACCAATTTGAATGTAAAATGGAGCATTATAGGATTGTAATAAATTCACTTAGCATCCCGAAATCACTCGACTTCCACTTTATAAATTATCAGCAAGAGGGGATATTTAATACGAGTCGACAAGTTGACAAGTTGCGACTACCAAATAAAAAAAAAGGAACCTTCAATCCAACTGGTTAACGAAGGCAACCCACCTCCAAACGACGCCGCGTGTCTCTTCCTGCCGGCATTATCAGTTCCTCTTCACAGGTAAAAAGTCTTCGTCTCCACCCTTTCACTGTTGCCGAACCACTCTATTGAGCCGATCAACTAAAAACCCTGTTTTTTCCCTCCTTATCTCTCTCTTCGACTCAGTAACTCGCTTATCAAAACCGCGTCCCCTGTTAACGCTCTGTTCGGTGATATGGCGGTGAATTCTTTTTTCGCTTTTGAAGCGGTAGAATCGGAATCTGAAACCATAAATTAATGAATCGGGCAGACTTAACAGTCGGACCGGCTATGGATATGCCGATCATCCACGACAGTGACCGTTACGATTTCGTAAGAGATATAGGGTCTGGTAATTTTGGAGTAGCACGGCTTATGAGAGATAAGGTTACCAGGGAGCTCGTTGCTGTCAAGTATATCGAGAGAGGCGAGAAGGTTAGTTTATGTAAATTCATACACTCAGCGATGTCCTTTCTTTGTACTCGAAACACACTAGTATTTATAGAAAGATAAAATTTCCTGTTTTTGTATTAAAGTTTTATTCTGTGAGATTTTATTTTTGTTTTGTTAATTTCGGAATGTTTCCTCAACTATCCTGCTTTTTGAAATCTCAACTCATTAACTATCCTTTAAATTTCCAATATTCTGATTAAAATTTGTGCTTCTGTTTCTGTACAGATAGATGAACATGTTCGGAGAGAAATTATTAATCATAGGTCATTGAGGCATCCCAATATTGTTAGATTTAAAGAGGTATGGTTAGTAGTAGTACATATTTTTACAGTTTCACTTTGGATCTGTGTACAAAAATTAAGGCAATGCTTTGATTGACCAACTGCGGAGATTGTTACTTTAGGTTATCTTAACTCCTACTCATCTTGCCATTGCAATGGAATACGCATCCGGAGGAGAGCTTTTCGAGCGAATTTGTGCTGCTGGTCGGTTCAATGAGGATGAGGTTCATTTTCCTTCTTCTTTTTGTACTCACTTCAAGTACCCTTTTATTTATTTGCTCTGGCTTTGATGTATTGTTATTTTCATCATCTTGGTGCAGGCTCGTTTCTTCTTTCAACAACTTATATCTGGTGTTAGTTATTGCCATGCAATGGTTGTTACTATGTGCCCATTTATTTGTCAACTTGTCTTATGTGTAATCTGATAAAATTATTCTGCTCATAAATTTGATTTGTTTCTCTTGATGAAGCAAGTATGCCACCGTGATTTGAAGCTGGAAAATACTTTGTTGGATGGCAGTCCTGCTCCTCGGCTTAAGATATGCGATTTTGGGTACTCCAAGGTATAAATTGCTGGAACCCATGTCGGTATTTGCTATCATTCTATGTGTTAAGGGTTCTACTTTCTACATGTGGAACTTTTGAAATTATATTCTTTGGTATGGATGTACTTCTTTGTTGCTTAAGAAATCTTGTTTTCATTTGCTCGTGCCTTAGAATAGTTATCATTAGTTTTGGTCTATTTGGATGAAATTGCATGCAGCTTTATAGTTTTTTGGTTAATTTTTTTTATTTTGTTGTTTTCAAATAATCTTAATGTTATCTAAGCTCATTATTGTGTTTATTGGTTGATTATCTCAGTCTACAGTTCTCCATTCGCAACCGAAATCTACTGTTGGAACTCCTGCATACATTGCTCCTGAGGTACTCTTAAAGCCAGAGTCTCAATATGATGGCAAGGTATATTTACAAGAAAAGTTCAAATTAGTTTAGAATGTCGGTTTCCTATTCACACGATGCAATTCCTGGTTGAGGCTTAAGAGGTTCATGTTCTATGGGCTGGTTCCTGCCTTCTTTGTGTTTCAGTGAAATGAATCAAATTGATGGTTTCATTCTAGTTTATTTTAAACTTTAGTTTACTATTCATAGCCTTTGAGACAACATTTGCATAATATGCTATCTTGAAATCTTCCTCTTCTGCCTTGGCAATCCATTAAATAGGAAGTAAAATCATTAGTCTGCTTACGTGTAAACCAAGGATATGATCAGCTGCAACTGGAGAGTGAAATGTCGTAGTTTATTTTGTGGTGATTAGGAACGGGCCTTACGGCTTCAGTGCACTTTTCTTATTTATTTAATATGGGCCATAATATTTGCAAATTTCATGATAACTTATTGAGAATCAAATTCAAACAAAAAAGAATAATGCAGAGAGCTTGTATCACCTGATACCTTCTGATTGTGTTTGTCCAAGTGAGTTGCATATTTGTGCATGTTAATGTTAAAATATGAAAATTAGTAAGATGGGTTAATTAACTTTGTCTGGTGATATCAGACTGCCGATGTATGGTCATGCGGGGTTACGTTGTTTGTAATGCTGGTTGGGGCATATCCTTTTGAGGACCCGGATGAGCCAAAAGACATTCGGAGGACAATACAAGTATATAACTGTATCTTCTTATTACATTAATCTCACTTTAACCCAAATAAATCTATGGGCTAACCATTGGATCATGCAGAGAATTATCAATGTCCGGTATTCCATTCCTGATTTTGTCCAAATATCTCCCGAGTGCCAACATCTGATTTCGAGGATTTTTGTTACAGACCCTACGGCCGTGAGTAATTTCTACTAATACAATTCAAAGTTATTCCTTGATTTTTCAAAGTTAACATTTTATTCTGGGACACGAACATCCTTGAAAGGAAAGAGATACTTATGACTGTAGAGGGAGTGGCCTGTTTTCTTTTTGGGGCAACTTATTGCAAAAAACCATTATTCAAAACGGTATTTAAGCCTTCTGATAATTGATCATTTTCTGTAACAGAGAATTACAATTCCAGAAATTAAAAATCATGAGTGGTTCTTGAGAAATCTCCCTGCCGACTTGATGGATGAAACCACAATGGGTAATCACTTTGAGGAGCCTGATCAACCTATGCAGAATATTGATACTGTCATGCAGATAATGGCTGAGGCCACCATTCCAGCTGCAGGAGCCCAGGGCTTAAACCATTTAATGATAGACAGCCTCGATGACGAATTCATGGACGATTTTGATTCTGAATCTGAGCTTGATGTTTATAGCAGTGGAGAAATCGTCTATGCAATGTAATACGAAGAAGACAACTTTGCAACGTGCAGTTGTTTCAAGCATGTCAAAGTGTGAAGAAATAGCTGCAAAGAGCGGTGAGATGCAATACTGGTCTCATTGCCTATTGTGTCCATTATGTTCATAGCAAGAAGCTTTATACAAATCTGTGGAACAATTTATATGTAATACAACTTAACAAGGGAGGATCACATGGAAAAAAAGATCTGTATTGGATGATCATCTCCATAACTTCTACATCATGTTTCCGTTGAACTCTTGTTCATTTCTATTTTTGGCATTAGTCGTGTACTATTTACTTGGTTCTGTTTCTTTCAGTTAAAAAATACATTCGTGTGTGTATATATTTGGTTTGTTGCAGGTCTATTCAGACTCAGATTTGGATTCAGCATGGGAATAGATGGAAATTTTTAAAACTGTCTATCAAATCTTAGTATTTCTTTGGACTCGGGATTTAAATAGCGGCCGTTATATAACAGTAATAATGTCGTCTGAAATAGTTATTGCACGTAAATCCATGTATAGGATGTCTACTCATTGCATTTAACAGTACTTCGAATGTTGCAGCTTTGTGATTATTGGAGGCAGGTTACAACTGGAACACACTATCATATAGAGCTTCTTTAGATTGTGCAGTTCACCAATCTGGACAGGCATGTTTATGATGCTTGGACAGTTGGAAATATCGAGAATACAAGCTTGGATAAGATCCACATGGTGTCTGGCAATGTCTTAGTACTGGATAAGCTCAAGGTAAGTCCCAAACAAATAAAAAAGAATTGAACTTAAATGGCCTATAGTATTGAAAATGACTTGGGAACTCAATGAAAGGTGACACTAAAGGTCTAATTAAACTTTTAATTAATTGAAGATGACCCACCGTGAATTGATCATTGTAAAGTACGATTATATTGTCACTTAACATGTTTTCAATGTTGCAAGTGTATTCATGTATGTTCATTAACTTTAGATATTAAAAATTAAATTATTAACTTAATTATGCGTGTTCTAAATGAATTTTGAGATTCTACATATAAAGAATCAATCTCTTTGTTGAAAAGATTAATCCTTTGATGAATATTCCAATGGTTATTAGAATGAAAAGAATCAACTCATTCCTTAAAATGATTAATTCCTCGGGAAAAAGAATCAATCTCTTAAATTTTTATTCATGAGAAAATGCTTAAAAAATATCATTTTTAAGTCTAAAAAGTTGTGTTTTGACTTATAATATTAATATTTTACAAATTAGTCCTCAAATTTTATAAATGAAATTATGAGTGAATCATAATTCGATTTTAGTTTGGATTTTCACAATAACTTTTTAATAAGTTTAGTTTTGTTGAGTTAATCGATTGACGGAATTGGCCAAGAGGGGGTGAATTGGCAATAAAAATTTTGGTGGAAGCTTTTGCAGAAAATTGAAAGAAATTGCACACGATTTAGAGTGGTTCGACTTTCTCAACTAAAGTCTACGTCCACTATCTTAGCTATCCACACTAAGGATTTTCCACAAATTCACTAATTTGTCTTTCTTTTGAGGACAAAGAGTAACCTTACAAACCCTCAAGAATTATATCCCAAATTCTTGAGAACACTCTCTCCCAAAGAGAACAATACAAATTTGCAAACTTACAAGGAAATCATCACAAGGTAGATTGTTTGCACAATTCTAGAACAAAGAAAAGAACACTCAAGAATGAATACAATTGAGCACAATAAGTGTTCTTGAAAGCAAAATGAATATTGGATGAAAAATAGGCTTGAAATGCTCAAACTTGAGGTTTGATGCTTTCTCTTTGATTTTCTCTTGATTCTAGTTGCTTGATGTTTCTTGTTCTTGATCAATGGCTTCTAAGCTTGCTTAAATACACATTGAATCACTTCTGAACGTTGGGGATCATTAATGAAGATAATATAGCCGTTTTAGTGTGAAATCAATTAATAAAACAGTTTGGAGCGTGGGGGGAATCGGTACCCCTTAAGGGGAATCGGTACCCCTTAAGGGGAATCGGTTCCCTAAGTGTAAAATTCAAATATTTCGGCTGTTACACATGGGGGAATCGGTACCCCCTCGGGGGAAACGATTCCCTCCGAACATACTGGAATTCTCGGAGCCAAACCATTCAGGGGAATCGGTACCCCCTTGGGGGGGAATCGGTTCCCTCTGAGCAATCTGGAATTTTTTGGCTTTGAGATGGTTCGAAATATTTTGTAAAATCGTTTTGAAATTATTTTAAGATTAAACTTAATTTTACACTTGAGTAAGGATTAAAAATGACATTTGAAAGATTTGGAGTAATATTTTGATATTCAAATAATTATATCGAATATACTTAGAAAACCTTTTTGGAAAATCTTAAAATTCATTTAACTTAATTTGTTATATCGAAATATCAAAATGTTTTCAACAATCTCCCCCTTTTTGATATAACAAAACATTTTAGTAATTTTAAGATTTTGAAATCAAAAACGACGTTTTTGAAAAATTACTCCCCCTTACTTTAACACTTCTCCCTTTTCTCCCATTAAAACACTTATTTAAAACACTTAACACTTCTCCCCCTTTTTGTTAAATCAAAAAGACTTGTAAAAGACTTTAAACAAGGTTTTTAAATCATATAGCCAATTGAATATATATAGTTTAAGCTGTTAAGATCACAATCAAGAGAAATGTTAGCCATTAGTTCCATAATCAATATTCATAATTAATGTGACATGGCAAAATTGGTCATATATCTAACATGATTTAAATGATGCAATAATGAATAAATTTAACCACACAATATATAAGTTCAAACATCCAAACAAATCCAAAGTCTAACAATCCACAATATCAAACAATCCAAAATATTCAAAATGTTAAAACAATAATCTTTTAGTTCAAAGTTTTAAAGCTAAACACATAATTAAACATCCGGATCGGGAGGAGGAAAACGAGCTCGCATAGCGGCCATTTCATGTGAGAGTGCATCAATACGTTCATTCATCGAAGCGTTGTTTGTGTGCATCTCTCGGAGGATTTCTAATTGTTGAGATCCCATTGTGGATAAATGAGACTGTATAGAAGTAAAGCGCGAATCCATGGTAGCATATCGGAAATCGAATGTCTCCATAAAAGATTGAAAATATAGAGGCATTTGATGCGTTTATTGTGCTTGCTCCTCGGGCTGCTCCTCAGGCTGCTCCTCAAGCTGTTCAGGCTCATCTTCGGCTTCATCGATGTCTCGCATTAATTGTTGAAGCTCGGGATCGTCATCAGCTTCTGGTTGCGCTCGTGAAGAACTAGCTCCCGGAGTATTTTCAGACGATCGAACCCATTCACCGGTTTCCTTATCCTTTATCTATCCCGCTCTTGTTAAAGAAAGAAGATTAATTTGTTTCTTTAAAGGAAAGGAGGCATCTAGACCAACTCTAAGCTCGACTTTAGAAAATAGATTACTCAAAATGCAACCGTAAACTAGAGATGAACAGAGTTTCTTGTTAAGAACAAAATTTACGGTTTCAACAATTTCAGCAAAAATGATCTGAGGTAGGTTTATTTTAATACTGTTTTCGAAACAATGTAACCACCAAAGATCCAAGGCTCTAAGAGTAGAATAACGACCTCCGGATGGTCGAAACCACAAGAAATCATTAGATTGAGAAAATGTTCATGAAGGTCTAAGACACTTGCACTATCCCTTCTTTTATAACGAGATCCTAAGATTTGTTTTTCATTTGAAATACCATCATTATCTAATCTGAATGCATTGGATATGTAAACCGAGTCAATATATAAGAATTGTCCTAGGAGGTAGGAACGAATTCCTATGGTTTCGGTTTCAGTTCGATTTTTAACACAAACGGCATTAGAATAGAAAATACGAACATGTTGATGGTAGACAATGGGTTCAAGTTCAAAGAGTTTGTCAAATTTTCACTCTTGTAAAAGAGGAAGATATTTAAAATTAATATCTAACATAGCTTGACGAGGAGGAATACGTTCTTCTCTAATTTTGTAAGAGTCGAAATATTGATAATACCAAAAACGATGATTTCTAGGACCAGGATGATTGAAGCACGAGTTTTGAATAGACAAATTAGGATCAATGGGATTAGGACTAGGAATTGGATTTTCAGGAATAGGAGGAGGATTTGGAGGTGGATTTGGTAGACGGTGTGAGCGACTAGATGATGACCTAGCACGTTTAGGATTGGACATAGTTTAGGAAATAGGAATAGAATGGATAACCTGCAATTTAGAAAACACATGTATGCAATTCAATCAATCCCAAAACTCAATTGAGTCCTCAATATTTCAAGGTTCTCTAAATCAATCCTAATGGGCAAAGTTTTTGAAAACTATTGAAAAATAAGATTTTGAAAAAAAAAAACAATATATGTATAGTTTTCATAACAACATAATTAAATCAATACACAATAATTTGAACAACAATTTTTTTTTATTATTTCAAAAAGTTCAAATATTTTTGGAAAATTCTTGTGTTTTTGATGAAATTAGTTGTAATATCTAGTTTCTAATCACTAAACAATCAATGCCCGATCACTATTTCTATCTAGAACTAATTAAAAAACTAGTCTTATGTTTAAAATCAATGAAATAGAGAGTTTTAGAAAAATTTACCTTGAAAGATGAGATTGAGTGGATTTTGATGTTGTTTGCACGATTTTAATGATGGTAGCAAGTTTAGAAGATGATGTTTGAAGTGAATTCCGATTAAAATCGTTGATTTGAGGCAAAAATAGAGATTTGAGAGAGTAGAGGAGTGATAGGCGACAAAAAGAGAAGAAAAAGGGTTTTGAACCAAAAGCAAGGGTTCTGACTGATAAAACCAGAACCCTAGGGGGGTATCGATTCCCCTGTGGGGGGAATCGGTTCCCCCTTCAAAGGGGGAATCGGTTCCCTCATGGGGGTATCGATTCCCTCTGCACCAAAATGCTAAAATCCGATTTTAAACACACAAAATGCTAAATTAGTTTTCTCTAGTGGTATTGGCAACTCATATATTGAAAATTAATCATGTTCAAACAATCAAATTATTCTTTAAACGATATTTGAACATAAAATTAATTTTTCATCAAGAATCATAAACTCCCCCTAACTAATAGCAATGAATACAATAAAAAATTAGCATTTTTCATTTAGTCTTAAAAGTGCTAAAATTATTTTAAACACTAAGTGAAGATAGGTTGGTCAAACCTAATTCTCTCCTAAGTGTCCAAAATCTTTCCTTGTCTAAAGGTTTTGTAAAGATATCCACTAATTGGTGCAAAGTATCAAAAAATTCTAGAACTACATCTTCCTTAGTGACATGGTCTCTAATGAAGTGATATCTTATTTCAATGTGCTTAGTTCTACAGTGTTGGATGGGATTTTTAGTGAGACAAATAACACTAGTATTGTCACACTTGATAGGAATGGTACCAACTTTAATTCCATAATAAAAAAGTTGTTGTTTCATCCATAAAACTTGTGCACAACAACTACCAGCTGAAATGTATTCGGCTTCAGTGGTAGATAATGCAACACAATTTTCTTTCTTTGAAAACCAAGAAATCAGCATATTTCCAAGGAATTGGCAAGTACCGGAGGTGCTTTTCCTATCTAATTTGCATCCTCCATGATCCGCATCAGAAAAAGCATGCAAGCTAAAGCTAGAGTCTCTAGGATACCAAAGACCTAAATTAGAAGTGTCCTTAAGGTATCTAAATATTCTCTTAATAGCTAGTAAATGTGATTCCTTAGGGCATGATTGAAATCTAGCACATAAGCAAACACTAAACATAATGTCCGGTCTACTTGTAGTTAGATAAAGTAGAGATCCAATCATTGACCTATATAATTTAACATCTACACATTTACCTCCTTCATCTAAGTCAAGCTTTGTTGAAGAGCTCATTGGAGTGTCATGAGGTTTGCCATTTTCCAGTCCAAACTTCTTGAACATATCTTTGACGTACTTAGCTTGATTGATGAAGATCCCATCTTTTCTTTGCTTGATTTGGAGTCCCAAGAATAATGAGAGCTCCCCCATCATGCTCATTTCGAATTTACTTTGCATTAGCTTAGAAAATTCTTGGCAAAGAACATCATTAGTAGAACCAAATATTATATCATCAACATAAATTTGAACTACTAATAAATCTTTACCTTTATGCTTTAAAAACAATGTAGTGTCAACCTTCCCTTTTGAAAAACCTTTTTCAATTAAAAAGTTTGACAATCTTTCATACCAAGCTCTTGGAGCTTGTTTTAAACCATAAAGTGCTTTTATTAATTTAAGAACATGATCCGGAAATTTTGAATCTTCAAAACCTGGAGGTTGTTCCACATACACTTCTTCTTTTATAAAACCATTTAAAAATGCACTTTTAACATCCATTTTATATAATTTAAATTCATGAAAACATGTAAATGCTAATAACATTCTAATTGCTTCCATCCTAGCTACGGGAGCGTCTATTTCATCATAGTCTATGCCCTCTTCTTGAGTATACCCTTGAGCAACAAGTCTAGCCTTGTTTCTCACTATATTACCACTCTCATCAAGCTTATTCCTAAATACCCATCTAGTACCTACAGTAGATTTATTACTAGGCCTTTCAACTAATGTTCATACTTTACTTCTCTCAAATTGATTTAATTCTTCTTGCATAGCCATAATCCAATGTTCATCTTTTAATGCTTCTTTAATATTCTTAGGCTCTATGCATGAAATAAATGCAACATAATTACAAATATGTCTAAGAGAAGATCGAGTTGTTACCCCTTTGGATGGATCACCTATAATCTCACCATCCTTGACATAGTTGTACTCTCTTGGATAAAATACTTCCCTTTCTTCAATGATTGGATTCTCAAGAGGATCATGAGTTACCTCATCTTTTGTTTCTTCCTTTGATGATGGTTCTTCAACGTCATGTCTAACTTCATTTGTATTTATAATACCTACATCATCATTCACACAAGAATCCTTCCTCGGAAGGGGATTATCATCGAAAACAACATGTATAGACTCTTCTACAACTAAAGTTCTTTTATTAAATACTCGATAAGCTTTAGAATTTAAGGAATAACCCAGAAAATTCCTTCATCACTTTTAGCATCAAATTTGCCAAGGTTTTCTTTACCGTTGTTTAAAACAAAACATTTACATCCAAAAGGATAAAAATAGCTAATGTTAGACTTTTTATTTTTGAAAATTTCATATGGAGTTTTCTTTAAAATAGGCCTAATCATTACTCGATTTACAACATAACAAGCGATATTTGTGGCTTTCGCCCAAAAATATTTTGGCAAATTATTTTCACAAAGCATGATTCTAGCCATTTCTTCTAAAGTTCGATTTTTCCTCTCAACAACTCCATTTTGTTGAGGGGTTATAGGTGCTGAAAAATTGTGACTAATACCATTAGAATTACAAAACTCAGTAAATCCAAGATTTTCAAATTCAGTGCCATGATCACTCCTAACACTAGTTATAGAGTAACCTTTATCGTTTTGGATTACTTTTGAAAATGTGATGAATTTTTCTAATGCATCATCTTTATTACTTAAGAATAGAACCCAAGTATATCTAGAATAGTCATCTACCAAGACAAATGCATATTGTTTTCCACCCAACCTAGTAGTCCTAGTTGGCCCAAAAAGATTTATATGGATCAATTGTAATACTCTACTAGTTGATACGTCATTAATGGATTTAAAAGAAACTCGCTTTTGTTTTCCTTTAGCACAAGCATCACAAATTTTATCATTATCAAATTTAAGCTTAGGCAACCCTCGAACTAAATCACCTTGAATTAGCCGTTGCAAAACACTCATACTAGCATGTCCTAGTCTCCTATGCCATAACCAACTATCATGTTCATCCTTAGCAACTAGGCACAAATTAGTCATATCAATAGAATCTAAATACACCATGTATATGTTTCCTATTCTATGACCAACAAGCATAATCCGATTAGATGCAATGTCAATGACTTTACAACCATTAATATCAAACATGACATTGAATCCCTTATCACAAAATTGACTAATACTCAATAGATTATGCTTTAATCCATTCACATATAAAACATTCTTAATTTGTATGGAAGATGTATTACCAATAGTACCAATACCTTCAGTGTGACCTTTTGAATCATCACCAAAAGTCACTTCTCCTCCATTTTTGGCATTAAGCTCAATGAACCGGTTTTTGTCTCCGGTCATGTGTCTTGAGCATCCACTATTGTCCGCTTGGTATGAGTACTATAAATGGTGCGGATATGTGTGCAAGTATACACAATCGAACAAGTAATAAAGTGATGAGTGAGTATCGTTCTCCACAGGGATTGAGAGAAATCAAATAAACTTGTCACGACACTTTACTTTGTCACCTAAGTAAAGTTAATAATGGTATAAACAAATAATAATGTTGTGGCAAAATGAGATGGATGTTGCGAAAATAGAATGGTGATAAGGTGGTAGCAGATGGATATGTTATGGCAAATTGAATTGTGCTGAGTGTAAACAACTGAAAATGCAAAGACAAAATAAACTGTAAATACTAGATTTGCTTATAAGAACTTTAGACTCCTCACACGACAAGCTACTATGGGAATGAGTGATAGGAGTCACTTAGGAAATCTAAGTTTACTTCTCAGAATGGTCTTACTTCTATGTCTTAACTGCCTGACAGAGTTTACTAAGGGTGCCCTATGCTATCTCTAGTTAAGGGACTCGACAGATTGAAGATGCCTTGGCAAAACCGATTGGTGTTAGCTACTGCAGGGATCCTATTGGTCCAGATAACAGGATATGTCTGGGCAATACCTTTTTGTGGCAGCATTAACATCTAACCTATCGCTCATGCACAACTCTTTTTAGTCGAATGAAATCCTAGCCTTATCTCTAAGGTGGATTAGGCCTAGTTACTATCTAGAACCCCTTGCTTATGTGGTTCATCCCTAGTTTCTCTCGAATACTAAGGATGTGCTACTTAGATATTCTCTCGAACACTTAGTAATCTCCTAAGGAATGGCTACTCTCATAGCTCCTACAACCTTAAGGCATTAAGATCCATAAACAAAACAATTAATAACATAGAAAAACAATCATTCATTAAAGCAAAACTTAAATATCCAAAATGAACTCCCACCAAATAGGTTTAGTTCATGGTGGGGTTCGAAATAAACAAGCACAAAGCAAGTATCATTCGTTCCTTACAACCCAAATAACAAAATATGAAAGAAAATAACTAAGGGAATGAGGAAAAGCCTTCAACGTGCACTACTGGATGCTCTCCTTGACCACCACGAACTGCCCCTAATGAACTAACTCCTCTCGGACGCCTAGAACGCCACTCCCTCTAGCCTGTCAACGGAGGAATGCCACGGCAAATGGGATTGACGAAGAACTTTTTCTTCGAATTTTTAGGCTCTTGGCGGCTGTCTAAAAATCTCTCCCCCTTTCCCCTCAAAAAGTTGGGCTTCATCTTCTATTTATAGGGGAGAATGAACCTAGGGTTTTTGTGTTAAAGATGGTAATTGGCCCCTCCTTTAATGCTGATTACATAAAGCACTTTTTTATGCCGTGACAGCTGGCTCTTACTAAAGTTCATTCCTTTTATGTGAAAGTTGGTACAAAGATGGTAATTGACCCCTCCTTTAATGCTGATTACATAAAGCACTTTTTTATGCCGTGACAACTGGCTCTTACTAAAAATATATTTCTTTCGTTTTAATTGCTCTCGAAATGCCAACTGGTTCGGCATTTGCATTTTGCTCAGCAGTCTCCTTTTGTCATGACATTCCCCTTTTGCTTTTCCTTGCTCCCAAATCCTGCACATCACCAGAAAAACACCTTCCCCATAATGCAGCACTGATTACAAAATAAAATATCGCGGCAAACAAAATTTCACCACATGCAACCATATGCTCCTAAATGCATCTATATGATCCTAAATGGGCTTTTAGACAGTCAATAACTTAAGTGAAAAGGTCCCAAATATGACCTTTTTACAGAGTTATCACACCCCCAAACTTAAGCTATTGCTTGTCCTCAAGCAATGGATAATATTAAGCAAAATAAAAATACCATGGCAAGTTCAGAAGCTGAATAGTTATATGGGATAAAATTTCAGCCCTCAGAACATTTGGCTTCAACATGCTAGACTAGTGTTAGAAATCAAGTACTGTCCCCTAGGGCAAGATTCTTTGTGTGGGTGTGTGCGTGTTTGTATCAAGTCCATGCTTAACAAACCTAAAAATTTTCTAAGCAAGTTTTCTTGTTTTGCCACGACATTTAGAATTTTTACTCCCACATTGTTTTTTTTACGAAGGGAGTCAGACCATCACACCTACCATCCCACACTCTAGATGAAAGGGAGCATACCTTCCATCCCCAAGCTAGTCAGGTAGATTTTTTTTATTCTGCTACGAAGGGAGTCAGCCCATCACACCTACCATCCCATACGCTAGGTGAAAGGGAGCATACCTTCCACCCCCAAGCTAGTCAGGTAGAGTCATCCCATGACTACTTTCATTCACTCATATGCCATTACTGTCATTTATTTATTTGTAGTTTCCAGGAAATGTCATGGCATAGCAGAGTGTCCTTCTACAGATATGCCGAAGCATTTATTCATAACTTCATTCTTTTTTTTACAAGTGGGTTTTCATCATTCAAAGTTGTATGCCACGACATTCAAGAATTCTCTTATAAAAAAAATTCTAAGTTTCTCAAGCATGGAAAACATACAATCGTGTATTCAAAGGGTTCAAAGAAGCAAGTCCTAGAGTTGGTTCTATCATCCTCAACAGTCATGTACATTCTATCCTAGCCATCAAGAGTTTATCATCATCGGGCATCATTAATTTATTCCAGAAAACTAATTCTAACACTTACTAATGTCATGACATATTCATTATACTAATACTATCATGTAATGATTCGAGAACCCGACCTCCCCCAAACTAATTGCAAGATGACGGATGTGAGTCTCGCATTTCCTATCCTAAGCTTCACGAAAATTGACTTAGGCATCAAGTTCACACTTGAGCTAAGGTCACATAGTGCCTTCCCAACAAATTTATCTCCTATCAAACATGGAATGATGAAACTGCCCGAATCATGTCTCTTTGGTGGCAGCTTGCTTAAGGAAGAGAAAAATTCTTTTGCCGTGGCAATTGTATCGTATTGCTCAACCTTTCTCTTCTTGGTAACAATCTCCTTGAGAAATTTAGCATAGGTGGGCATTTGTTCCATAGCCTCCAGAAAAGGAACATTTATTTGAAGTTGACTCAGAATGTCAACGAACTTTTTGAATTGAACATCTTCGTTATGCTTCTTCAGTCTTTATGGGAAAGGAGGCGGGGGTCTGACTTCTTGTACTGATGGGGTGAGAATTGAATTTGCCTTGGCATTTTTGTTTGCCCCCTCAGTTGCTTTACTCGATGAACCCTCATCCTCTTCCACTGGTGCTTCTTCCAGCAATTCTTGCTCAACTTACACGGTCACAGGGGGTGAATCGACCTTCGATCTTCCCCCAAACTTATCTTCAACATTGATTTGTGTACCACTCCAGAGAGTTAGCACACTGCAGTGTTCTTTGCCGTGAGGTTTTGTGACTTTAGTGTCACTTGGTAGATGTCCTGGTCTGCGTTCTTGTAATACCGCGATAATTTGACCAACCTGACTCTCCAGCGTCCTTAATGACGAACTGTGGCTCTGAAGCAGGGCTCCTTGATTTTTGATGGAGGTCGCATGGTCTTGCAGCATTGTCTTCGTTGTTGCAATAAACTCTTGCATTGTGGCCTCTAAAGAATTGGTGTTTGATGAAGATGACCCTCCCTTGTTAGAATTATGCCATGGCATATTCGATTGATAACCTTGGGAGTCATTGAAATTCTGCTGCCGAGCTGGTTGATGAGCACTGCTGGTTTCTTGATTTCCCCACGAAAAGTTTGGATGTTGACGCCATCCAGGGTTGTATGTGTTGGAATAAGGGTTGTTGCCTCGATTGAAGTTGCCTACAAAGTTGATGGATTCTTGATTGGTTGGGTAGTCACTCTCATTGTGATTGCCGTGGCATAATAAAAATGCTGAATGGGCCGCCTTCGCTTCTCTCACCTCACTTGGCCTCTGCAAATTCTTCAACATGTTGGTGATAGCAGCAAGTTGGGTGGACACCGTATCCTTAGAATCTAGCTCGAAAGCTCCATGTGTTTTTCACCCAAGTCCAAGCCTTGTGAATGGAAACTGATAATCATTGGTGGCAATCCTATCCAGAATGTCAAATGCCTCTACTGGTGATTTGTCAAGTAACATCTCATTTGCCGAGGCATCTAGCATTATCCTCGTGGGTGCATTAACTCCTTTGTAGAACATCACCACTTGCGTCTAATCTTGAAAACCATGATTCAAACACTTACGAAGCAAGCTTTTATATCGGTCCCAGCACTCATACATTGATTCATCATCAGCTTGACGAAAAGAAGCAATATCGTTCCTCAGTTGGATGTTCATGTTCGGAGGATTATACCGCAGCAAATTGTTTTTGCACAGATCAGTCCAAGACTCCATTGAACCCGTTGGAACGCCACTCAACCAAGCCCTTGCTCAGTCATGCAGAGAATACGGAAATAGCTTTAAGTTTAAGACATCTTCGTGAACTCCTTGTTGGCGAAAGGAATCGCACACCTCCAAGAAGTTTCGAATATGTTACCTGGCATATTCATTTGGTATGCCCCCGAATTACCCTATGAAATTCAGCATATTGAACATGACAGGTTTGAGCTCGAAGTGGGCTGCCTGAATTTTTGGTGCCACTATTCCAGGATTTAAATAATCCAGGATCGGGTTTAAGTGATCCCGAATGGCACGAGGTCTGGTTGCATTCCCAATATTTAGATTTGCCTTAGCATTCTGATCATCTTCCTGACCAATGTCTTGATTTCCAATATGGTACATGTTTTCACATTGATCACGTCTTCTTCTCCTAAAAAGCCTCTCGATTTCAGGTTCAACCGGTTCTAATGGCTCGTTCGAATGTCTTCTGGTCATACACCACGAAAAACCTGAAATAGATAAAGAAAATAAAAAGTAAATCTATCTAAAAAAATAAAAATAAAATATAAAAAAAGTAAAATAAAAATGCTATGACAAAACTAATTAACTTCTAGTTGCCAATCCCCGACAACGGCACCAAAAACTTATCCGCTCGGTATGAGTACTATAAATGGTGCAGATATGTGTGCAAGTATACACAATCGAACAAGTAATAAAGTGATGAGTGAGTATCGTTCTCCACAAGGATTGGGGGAAATCAAATAAACTTGTCACGGCACTTTACTTTATCACCTAAGTAAAGTTAATAATGGTATAAACAAATGATAATGTTGTGGCAAAATGAGATGGATGTTGCGAAAATAGAATGATGATAAGGTGGTAGCAGATGGATATGTTATGGCAAATTGAATTGTGCTGAGTGTAAACAACTGAAAATGTAAAGACAAAATAAACTGTAAATACTGGATTTGCTTATAAGAACTTTAGACTCCTCACACGACAAGCTACTATGGGAATAAGTGATAGGAGTCACTTAGGAAAATCTAAGTTTACTTTTCAGAATGGTCTTACTTCTATGTCTTAACTGCCCGACAGAGTTTACTAAGGGTGCCCTATACTATCTCTAGTTAAGGGACTCGACAGATTGGAGATGACTTGGCAAAACCGATTGGCGTTAGCTACTGCAGGGATCCTATTGGTCCAGATAACAGGATATATCTGGGCAATACCTTTTTGCGGCAGCATTAACATCTAACCTATTGCTCATGCACAACTCCTTTTAGTCAAATGAAATCCTAGCCTTATCTCTAAGGTGGATTAGGCCTAGTTACTATCTAGAACCCCTTGCTTATGTGGTTCCTCCTTAGTTTCTCCCGAATACTAAGGATGTGCTACTTAGATATTCTCTCGAACACTTAGTAATCTCTTAAGGAATGGCTACTCTCATAGCTCCTACAACCTTAAGGTATTAAGATCCATAAACAAAACAATTAATAACATAGAAAAACAATCATTCATTTAAGCAAAACTTAAATATCCAAAATGAACTCCCACTAAATAGGTTTAGTTCATGGTGGGGTTCGAAATAAACAAGCACAAAGAAAGTATCATTTGTTCCTTACAACCCAAATAACAAAATATGAAAGCAAATAACTTAGGGAAGGAGGAAAAGCCTTCAACGTGCACTGTTGGATGCTCTCCTCGACCACCACGAACTGCCCCTAGCGAACTAGCTCCTCTCGGACGCCTAGAACGCCACTCCCTCTAGCCTGTCAATGGAGGAATGCCACGACAAATGGGATTGACGAAGAACTTTTTCTCCAAATTTTTAAGCTCTTGGCGGCTGTCTAAAAATCTCTCTCCCTCTCCCCTAAAAAAGTCAGGCTTCATCTTCTATTTATAGGGGAGAATGAACCTAGGGTTTTTGTGTTAAAGATGGTAATTGGCCCCTCCTTTAATGTTGATTGCATAAAGCACTTTTTTATGCTGTGACAGCTGGCTCTTACTAAAAATATATTTCTTTCGTTTTAATCGCTCTCGAAATGCCAACTGGTTCGACATTTGCATTTTGCTCAGCAGTC